AACCATATAGTATAGTCTAGCGGTGGTGAACTTATGGCATGTGTGTTACTTTTTTTCTTTCTTTTTTTGCGGTACTGGGGATTGAACTCAGGACCTTGTGTTTGCGGTGCCACTGAGCTAAGACCCTGGCCCTACTTGTTTTTCTTTTAAGACAAAAGATGTGCCAGGTGTGGTGGTGCACACCTGTAATCCCAACACTCGGGAGGCTGAGGCAGGAGGATTGCCTCAAGTTTGAGGCCATCCTGGGCTACATAGTGAGCTCAAGGCCAGCCTGAACTACATGAGTCCCTATCTCAAAAAAAAAAAAAAAAAGACAAAAAAAAGATATTCATGTATGAGTTGTTTTTTCTAAGCCGAAACCTCAGTATTCAGGTTTAATTGCAGTGTTGGCACTTTGTGATAAAGAAGTGGGTTTGGGGTGCAGCTTGGGCTCTCATCTCTAAAAGGTTTGCTATCACTGAATACCAGGGGGAGCTTATGCTTACGTGACTGGAATAACTAATGTGATACAGAGAATTAATAGATGAGAGAGTATTTTGAGTAGAGGTACTGGATTTTAGGGTTACAGTTTCAGGTAATGACAAGGTCCAGGATTTGCTGTTTTTAACTGAAGGGAAGAGAAAGTACAAGTTACCTAAAGTGAAGAATTGTGGGATTGGGTGTGGGTTAGGTCTCCTATATTGTACTGTAATATCCAAGTTGACATTTTACCATTCCCCGCTTGATAGTTCTGTCCATGTCTTCACTGTTGTTTTTGCAGTGTTTGATCTGTGTATGTGGTCATTCAGTAGATAATTTATTAAGTTATTGAATAGGTGCATAGAGGGAAGTAGAATTTGGTATTGAGAATCAGACTGTTTGTTGGGGGAGCACCCAGTAGTTGGAAGATGGAAATGGTGAAGTAAGTGGCCCTTTCCCGTGGCCAGCAGTTGGTGCTAGCTTTGGGCAGAGCACTCAGCTGGGCTGTGGACCTACATCCCGTCAGATGACTTCTCTGTAAGGCCCTGGGATCCTTGCAACATGGAAACTTGGGTTCAGAGGGTGTTCCAAGAAACAGAATGTGGCGCAGATGCCATGCTTTTAAGGCAAGGGCCTGGACATTGGCACTGTATTCTACCCGAGTTTGTCAAAGGAGTCAGAGTCCAACTCGGTTCAGGGTGTGGGGAAAACAGCTTGTCCTAGTTACTTCCTTTTGTAGCTGGGACAAAATACCTGACTCCCACAACTTAAGTCAGGAGCAGTTTATTTTGGCTCACATTTCAGTCTATAGTTGGCTGGCTCCAAGGCAGGATGGCATAGTGGACAAGAAGCAGGGAGTGGAGGAAGCAGCAGAGGAGAGGTAAACCCTTCCAGGAGATGCTCCCAGTGACCCTCCTCTTCTGACTGGCAGTAGGCCTCTACAATCTAGGCAGCTTCCTGAAGCTCTGCTTATGTGAGTGTATGAGGCCCTTGAGGCACATTTAGATACAAATCATCATATACCCTATCTTTTGATAAAGTGCCAGAGAATCTGTAATCATCCCCTTTTTTTTTTTGGTACCAGAGATTGAATTTAGGACCTTGTGCTTGCGAGGCAGGTGTGTGCCACTGAGCTAAATCCCCGGGCCTTGTAACCATCCTCACTCAATCCATTATGTTTGGCACCAGACACCAGCAAAAATTCAAGGCTTTTGGTGTGGACCAAAGCTTCACAGGTTTGTTTTTTTTTTCCCGTAGTGGGGATTGAACCCAAAGCCTTGCTACATCCCCCTTTTTTATTTTTTATTTTGAGACAGTGTCTCACAGAGTTGCCCAGGCTGGGCTCAAACTTGGGATCCTCCTGCCTCAGCCTCCCAGAGTGCTGGGATTACAGACATCTGCCACCATACCCGACTTATACTCATCATTAAGTTGTCCAGTACATTGATCTTACTGAATTTTATTCTCAAGTTGGTGGTTTATCCATCTTGTATGAACTTTGTTAAAACATTGCCTTGGAGTATAGTTTAATTGTAATACTGCAGAGGCTCCCAAATTTAGAATCTCTCCATTGGATATACTTGAGGACAGAGTTTAAGATGTGCTCATCAGCTCACTTTGGTGTTACCTGATACTCAATGAAGTTTAAGCTATTTCAGTAACTTCTGCCTGATGGCAATGGGCACATGAACTCTGTAGTCAAATATTTGTGGTAGGCAGGCATTTTAAAATTTTGGGCATCAAAATGTTAGTGGTGGGTGATTCACTAGGCTTTAAAATTTTATAAATTGTGCTTACTAAACATGTATTTATTGAAGTATTTGATTTTTAAAAATTTTACTGTTTGTAGTACATAATGTCTGTATTCCTTGTGGGAGGCTGGTACATGTACGTAACACATCTTAATTTTTTCATCTCCTTCCTTGCCCCCCCATCTCTTGATGCCCTTCCATTTGAGAAAGATCTGTCTCCCTACTTACATTTTTAATTTCTCACATAAGATAAGCCACATAGTATTTAAGCTCGTGTGTCTGACTTATTTCACTTAACATTATGGTCCCAAGGCATAGCCATTTTCCTACAAGTGACTCAGTTTCTTCTTTATGTCAGTACTACTCCATTGGGTGTGAACAGCACATTTTCTTTCTCCATTCATCTGTTGATTGACTGATTGAAGCATTTGTAAAGAACGATTTTTGGTGATGCTAGGGATAGAACCATATAGACTATGCCTCATGGCATTGTGTTTGTATGTTAGGCCAGTTAGTATCAATGTTTGGACTTTGTTCGTTCATTTGCTTTTTTCAATATTGAGGATTGAATCCAGGGCCATTACACTGAGCTAAACTTCAGGCTTTTTTATTTTCCATTTTGAGACAGGATCTTGATAAGTCTCTAAATTGCTTAGGCTGCCTTGAACTTCCACTCCTTCTCCCTCATGCTCCCAGAGTGCTGGGATAACAGGCCTGGGCCAGAACACCTGGGGGTGGTATCAATGTTTTTGATTAAAAACTCTGCTTTGATTTTTTTCTTTTGTCTTTTTTTGAGACAGGGTCTCATTATATAGTCTAGGACCTCAAATTCAAGATCCTACTGCCTCATCCTCTCATGCTGGAATCACTGGCATGCACCACCACGCCCACCTTGAGTTGACTCTTGATACCCCTTGATACACAGATTCTCATTCAGGTCTGACCTTAAGACTGCCTTGTGTCCAATAAAAGAATTTAATACAAAAAAAAAAACAACAAAAAAAACTGCCTTGTGTCATGGGTTAAAAATCAGCTTCTTGGGCCACTTAGGTGGAGATTCTTGATTAACTAGGCCTGCAATAGGATTCTTTATCTGTATTTCTAAGAAGTGAGCTTAGGAGCAGGCAGATGTGGGAAACTACACATAACTGACCTGTCCTGTAACAAAGTGAAACTTGAGGCAACAAATGATATTGCTACAGATATATGTTTCAAGTAATTTTTATAGAAAAATTGAATTTCCATCTTCCACTGTAGGAAGAGATTGACAGAGGATATGAAACAGTTTAGTTGTATTTATCCTAGAACGAAGGTACATGTTAATATCGATTGTAAATTGTGGATTTGTTGAAATAACACTGCGATAATGTCTGTATCTGAAAGATGAAGATAGTATCTACCCTAACATGTTTGTTGTGAAGCTTAAATGGATCTGAGAGAACTTGAATTTGAAAGAACTATGAACGTGTTAATTGTTGATACCACTAAGTTTGACTTCCTAGTATTAAATGTAAGATTTTAGACATATGTAAGCATGCCAAGGACAGTGCAGATTTTCTACTAATTAAGTCAAAAGTTTTACTGATATGTACATTCTCTTTTCTTGATTTATCAACCTTTTAAAGTAAACAACTCTTTGTGCTGTGCTAGAAAATAGTGCCCTTCAAAGGAAAACCATATTACAATGCAATTTTTTTCTGTTGATTTTAAAATTTCAACTTTGTAGTTCTTTATGCAATAATGTACAGAATTACTTAGTAGCATTTTAAAAATCAGCAGTATCAGGCTCTGTTCCCAGAGATTCTGATTTAATAAGTCTGTCAGGGGACTCTCTGAGTGATTTTTATTCTGCTTTCAGGGCTCAGAACTCCTGCCTTAGACTGTTAACATTTGGGAGAGATGTTATCACAGGTTTTTGCAAATTGGAAATTTCATAGAACTTTTTAATTTAAGAACGATAAGTAACAATTGATTCATAGTGAGAAAAAACAAAGCAGATGGTAGAGACATTAAAGTTGCCTGGGTTAGTGACTCTCCTAGACTTCACACAATCATATTTTCATACCCAGGCCCCAACTGTAGTGCATTTTAGATGATTGTTTTGAAAAGAAATAACAATGAAAAACACTTTTTTTGTAACATGAGGATTTTTCTTTTTTTCTTTTAGCTCCAACCTGGTCTCAAGGTCTCTGGGTCCAGGGGTTTAGCTCAGTGGTTCCTTTGCCTGCTTCGCAAGCGCAAGGATCCGAGTTCTGTCCTTGGTACCAAAACAAAAAAACAAAAACAAAAACAAAAAAATCTCTGTTTTAGCTTGTATAATGCAGTGAAACTAGATAATACAGAAATGAGCTGAACCATGAATGCTAGCATGATTTCTTATTTTTATTAGTTCAAAACGCCAAACAGTTGGGGTTGAAGATTAATATTAAAGTATATAGAGATCTTTTTCCCATTCCACTAGCATTTGTGATCTTTTTATTTTGTTTCAGTATAAGCAAACTTTAAAAAAAAATGGATTTTTTTCTAGGGTAATATGCTTAGTTTATGAAGAAAAAAATTTAAATATACTGTATTTTGTCTGTCATCTGAGGAAGAGATCTTAATACGTCAAGAGAGTTCCTGACATAAAGAGAAATCAATTTTCTAAAAAAAAAAAAAGTCGTTACCAATAGTAACATGGATTTATAGTTTTCTTGTTGTAAAAAAGAACAGTAAGTTGTGAGTGAATATCTTGCTAGTTTTCAACTGAAGTACTCACATAGGACTCTTATTTCTGTCTCACTCTGTCAGGTGTAAAGATTTCACTCTGTGTTACTGGAATCCCTATTGGATGCTGCCCTCTGATGTTTGTGGAATGAACTGCTTTTGGGAAGCTGCATTTAGGTAGGCACTTAGTATTTAAATAGTAGATCAGTGTAGGTGGATTAGTAATAAAAGATTTGACTGTAATAGGATATAAAAGTATTTCTTTTTTTGTAATTTAATATTATCATACAAGTAAGCAGTGCATTTTCTGATTGAGTTTTCTGTTCCTTTTACTCATTTTGTAGTTATCACTAATTTTTAGTACATTCTACATATAAATGCTTTAAAAGATTTATAGATGTTAAGATAAACCATTCTTAGGGGAATTTATGATCTAATTTATGATATATTTGTTTATCTAATTTAAAGAAACTGAAGAAACATTTTGTTGGTGGACGGGGCAGTGTGGAAATACATTAATTATTAGAGTGAATATTGGAATGGAAGGGTTAAAATATTTATCTCTACAGATTTATAAAGGAGCACATGATATGACATTATTTGTTGGTTACTAAATTGTTTGGCTTTGTTGCTTCTGGATAAATGAGGCATTGGACTGGCTGACTTCTTGGGTTCCTTCTTGCTCTAATGTTTAGTAAGAAGCAAGTTGTTGTAGGAGTGAGATCAGCCAGTGGCTCTCAGACTGTATCCCTGAGATAGTGGCAGGGGAGAGTCGGGTCAGTCAGTAGCCTAATATGTCCTTTCCCAGTGTAAATATTTTTGCAAGTCATCCATCTTTATGATTCATTTAAATTTTAATTCTGTTAATTCTATTTGTTAGGTACTTTTCTAAGTGCTAATTATCAGATTATTGAGTCAGGTTAATGTAGTTCCATCCTTCTGGAGCTGTATTCTAATGTTTACAGTAGTTAACCTGAGATTTATAATAGAAGCTGACCAAGTTGTAGCTGTGAAGAGCCATCTTAAGGCGTCGGGGAAGACTTCCTGTAGGGAGCATGTAGTTGATAAACAGGAAATTAGCCAAGTTCAAGGACAGGAGGTCAAGGGTTTCAGGTAGGAAGAATTGCAATTAAAAATGTTTAAATTTGAAACTTTTATTTAAACTGACTAATGATTATTTTCATATGGTACTATGTGGTATGTCTGGTGTGGAATAATTATATCAAGTTACTGTTTCTATCACCTCACATATTTATCTTTGTTTGTAGTAATAATATGTGGTCTTTTCCTTTAGCAATTTTGAAATTAACATTATGGTTAGCTATGGTCACTTTGCTGTGCCATAAATCTTGAAAACATACTCCTTCTGTCTGCACTATCTACTTCCCTCTGGTAATCACCGTTCTACCATTCTGTTCTCTTAAGAGCTGCATTCTTCGTATCTGTTTATTACATGTATTTTTAAATTCTTGCATTCTCGCTACAGTATTCATCCCATGAACAAATAACAGGAGATAATTGAAATTAGATATTTTAGTTATATCCTCTTGCTATGGAAAAGCATGGGGGTTGAAATATTACTATGGCCCATTCCAAGTAAGATTATTCCAATTAAAAAAAAACTTTTAAAGATTTATTTGATCAAGGAATGATATATGTACCAGTTCTCCCAAACAAATGTTAACTATGGTGTACCACAAACATAAACTTTAAAACAAAAAACACAAATCAAGATCTGAACAAATAGAAATCCACACTGTGCTATAGGATGGGAAAACAATGGCATCAGGGAGACACTTGCCCTTCAAAAGATACAAATTTCATGCACTTATAAAAAAGGAAAGGAACCAAGTTCAATCCCTGGTACCAAAAAAAAAAAAAAAAAAGGAAATTTGGTCCAATTGTAAAAAAAGAAAAGATAATCTTGGCATTCAGTTTTCTTGTAATTTTGGAAAATTGGGACTATATTTTTCACTCTTAAGAAAATTTGCTAATGACTATTGAGTGTTGACAGGCACTCTTTTGCCTTGCAACACAAATTTAACTGGAACCTGGGTAAACTTGAAAACTTCTGCATGCTCTGATTTGTTTACTCTGATTTATAAAAACCAGACCTTTTGTAAATTACAGCATGAATAATCATAGTCTTCCTTCCTCCTTAACTTCGAAACTACTCTAGGGAGCCAGGTGCAGTAGTGGACACCTGTAATCCCAGCACTCTGGGAGGCTGAGGTAGCAGATCACGAGTTCAAGCCCAACCTGGACAAGTTAGTGACTTAGCAAGAACCTGTCTCAACATAAAGAATTAAGAAGGGGTTGGGTATGTATCTTAATATGAAGGCCTTGGGTTTAATCCCCAGTACCAAAAGGAGAAGGAATAATTCCTATTACTACCTATCTTTGATGTCACCTTATACCTGGCACCAGGGGCCTTTATTTTGGCATTGTGTTCTTATTCTAAAGGCTAACTTTCTCAGTTTGAATTCTTTATATAATTTGATCAGGTCTTACAGGGGAGGCGTTTCCTCCCAAGTGATTTATTAGGCAGTGAACATAATATAAAACAAAAACAACCTCACTTTCTATGTGTTTTCATCATTTGTATACACATTATGCTTTCATTTAGTTATGATTTCTAAGTTTAAAAGTTTGATACTTTTCCCATGAAGGGAATAGCATCATAATTACTATATTAATGACTGTATGCCATACCACTGAGTTTCAGAAACCCTTTTATGCTTAGAGCAGTTTTTCCTCTCATTTTTAGAACTTAAGTAATTTGTATCTGCATTTACTGAGTCTTCTGTTTGCTCTCATTTCTTCTGAGTATTTTATTCTTAAAACCAAGCCAAACACAAACTCCCCACAAGAACCCTTTCTTTAGTATCACCTGTTTATTCTCTTTCTCTTCACCAGGAAACCTCTTGTAAAAGTATCCACCTTGCTTGCTTTTTGTATGCCACATATAAAAGGCATATAAAAAATTCAAATATTTGTTAAAAAAATGAATTATGTCACTAAGTTGTTTTCTAGGAACTATACAGTTAATGGATTTAAGCCTGTACTTGCATTACGTGGATTTACTGGGATCACTGTAACCTTTTGCATTATTGGCAGTTATCATTTTACTTTATATTAGGGTAAAATGATAGATTATTGATTTATTTCATTGAATTTCTGTTTCCTACTAAGTTTTTAATGCTTATTTTGTGAACTCTTAGAACAATATGCTCCATTTTTGCCATTGATATTTTCCTAATTTGTTTCTTTTTGTCATTATGCAAACTCTTAATTTTAATATTGTTATAAAATACTTGTTTGAATATACTAATTTTTCTATGACTTGAACTTTTAAAAAATTAGTTCTTTAAAATATTTAATCTTCCTCTTTGTGGCAGGAATTGATTTTTGTATTGATGGATTCTGTGGTCATAAGTGGATTAATGTTAGCATATTGTCTTCCATGGTCTCATACTAGTTTTTTTTTGGTATAGGGAATCAACTGAGGGCCTTGCACTTGCCAGGCAGGCACTGTGCTGCTGAGCTACATTCCTGGCCCATCATACTAGTTTTTTGGTTTTTTGGGGGGTACCGGGGATCGAACTCTTGACCTTGCGCTTGTGAGGCAGGTACCGGAACCACTGAGCTAAATCCCTGGCCCATAGCAATATATGATCATCAATTTTTTTTTTTTTTTTTTTTTTTTTGGTACCAGGGATCAAACTCCGGTCCTTGCGCCTGCGAGGCAGGCGGCGAAACCAGTGAGCTAAATCCCTGGCTCTAAATCATACTAGTTTTAAGAGATATATTTTTATGGATTATTTTAACTTATATCTTATAAGTTAATGTTTATATTTCATATTGAATTTTTAGATTTTCTTTTTATGCTTTTGTATAAAATCTTACAGGTTTTGTAAGTATTTCGAAAGTGATTTATTTTCAACTCTTTAAAGTAGTATAATTCAGTACAACTTTTTAAAGATTGTTTTCATTTGGGTCTCTCTAATAGATGGTGTAACAATTTTTTTTCTTTTTTTGGGTACTGGGGATTGAACTTGGGTCCTTGTGTTTGTGCAGCAGACGACGAAACCCTGAGCTAAATCCCCAGCCCTAACAATGTTTTGATCAATAGCAGGGGTTAGAAGTGGTTTTCATGAACAGAATTCCAGTTTTCATTTTTTTGTATTTATGTTAGAGTTTAGCAAAATAACACACCTCTTTACAGTGTGAGGGGATTTTTTTAAAAAAGCCATACATTAAGGAGGGCCGGGGATTTAGCTCAGTGGCTCCGGCGCCTGCCTCACGAGCGCAAGGTCCCGAGTTCGATCCCCCGTACCAAAAAAAAAAAAAGCCATACATTAAGGAAATTACTGTGCTTCAAAACACAGTTTTTTGGTTTGTTCAACTACAAGGTTTTCATTCATGGACCCAGGTGTGGTGCATGCCTACAATCCCAGCTGAGGCAAGAGGATCATAAGTTTGAGCCCAGCCTGGGAAACTTAGTAACTTAGGGAGACCTTGTCTCAAAGAAAAAGTAGAAAAGGGTTGGGGTTGTAGTTTAGTGCAGAAGCCCTAAGTTCGGTCCCTGTGGGGGTGGCTCAGGAGCGGGTGTGTGTGTATGTGTGTATGTGTGTGTGTGTGTGGGTGTGGGGGGGATGCATTCATGGTAGTTTTTTTTTTTTTTTTTTTTAATTTGTTTTGGTACCGAGGATTGAACTCGGGTCCTTGCGCTTGCACAGCAGACGGCGAAACCACTGAGCTAAATCCCCGGCCCCATGGTAGTTATTTTTGTTGGTGAGATTATTATTTGAAACTTAATTTGCTTAGTCTGACTTTATATATTCATTAAAATGCTTTTCTAAATATTATATATTATTTTTAGGGAGTCTAATTTAATAATCTAGACAGACACACTGGAATATATTCATACTGTTTAGAAAAAAAATCCCAAAAAACAGGAGCCAGGTGTGGTGGAGCCGAGGATTGCCGTGAGTTCCAGCAATGTCAGTTCAAGTTCCAGCTTGAACTACAGTGAGACCCTATCTCAAAAAAAAGGGAGGGGGGTGTCCTAATTTCTATATAGCAGAAATGTAGTTAAAATAAAGAGAATCTTCTAAGCCTTACAAATCCATTAATAGTAATAGTATTAGAATTTGTTATTCAAAACATTCTTTAAGGACCTGATTTACCCCACTCAACATTTTACTTTGTTAAGACTCAAGTCTGCAAAGGCCGCAAGAATAGTACAATTAGCACATCATACACTCTTCTAGACTTTGCTTGCTAGTAACATTTTGACACTTTTTTTCTTGTGCTAAACCTTTTGATAGACAGCTGCAGCCATGATATACCCCTAAATACATATATATTTAGCATGTATCTCCTAAGAACAGGGATGTTTTCTAGTGTGACTGTAGTAAAATTGTTACCTCAAGTTGTTTAGCACTGATGGATTATATCTTCCTATTTATATTTCCTTATTTTTCTGTTGAGTCTTTCAGTTGTTTTCCTTAGCATTCAGAGTCCAATCAAAAGTTACATTCCATTTAGTTGTTGGGTCTAGGTTAGCCTCCTTTATTCTAAAACTATACCCCATCTTTTTTTTTTTTTCTCTTTGGTGGGAGAAGGGTGGTAAATACTGTCTTTTGTACATGGTATTTTTGTTTTGTTCAGCAGAATGGTCCTTGATTTGAATCTGCCCCTTAATGATTAAATTGAGGATTTTGGTAGGTTTGCCGTGTAGATCATCTGCTCTTTGGTCATTCAGGAACCAACTGATGTCATGTTTAATATTAAGTTTATCACGTGGTTAGGGTAATGTTCTCCTGTTTCTACACTGTAGTAGCATCTTTATCACCTTATAATATATGGAAAGATACTTTTTTTCTGTGTGGTTTTAAATCTAGACTACAAAGATGATTGCAAAATAGTGATTTTTGTAATTCATTCTTTCTATATTTATTGTTAGTGTTCATCTTTAAAGAAGAGTTCTCTTCCGTAACTCCTTACTTACAATTATTTTGGACTTAGGGATTTATTTTTTAAAACATAATGTGTGGATCATTATGGTCACACTTTTGATGCTCTCAGGTTATGCCACATTTAACTATGGGAGCCTTCCAGTAATGTTTTGAATTATCTGAAAGATTTCTTCTAATCTTATAGAAAAACAGATTTGACTTTAAACTGTCCTTTTGGATAACATTTCTTTCAATCCATGAGGGCTAGTTCATACAGTGATTAAAATATGGCACATTTTTACAGTCCTGACAAGATTACACCATTCATTTGGGGCCGAAATTACCTGAATGACTGAATCCCTATGACTGTTTAGGTTTTAGTTATCGTCTACCTGAGTACAGAAGGTTACTTTAGATTTCTTTGAGTTGCAGTTGATTTTTCTGTCTTGGGATCTAGAGACAAGCGTGGTAGGCAGAGATCCCTCTAAAGTATGTTTGTTTCCTTTTATCAGTTTAAGTATTGGAGTCTTTACCACATACAATGCTTTTATTAAAAAGGGACATTGACGAGAAAAGCAAATTCGCTGTACTTGACAGTATCCCTGAAGGGACTGGTAAAAAGAACTCTGGCAGTGTGACTAAAGCAACCCTTGCTAAAATGCCTAGGAGGAGTCCCTGAAACTGACTTTAGAGGTTTTTATTTTCCTCTTGAGGAACGTTTTGCTTTTTTTCTTCAGGTTTATTCTACTCCTTATCTCTGAACATAGAGAATTCTGAGGAAAACAGCATATGACTGGTACAGTTTGTTTTTAAATCTTTTTTTTTTTTTTGGCTTTTGATGTTGTTGTAGGGTCTAGTTACAGGCCAGATAAGCAATCTGAGCCTGTAAGAGAGTCTCAAGCCATGATGTTTTAGTGAAGGTGTTTTTACCACCCTGAGAGGTGGGCGTTGGAGGCAGTGACTGGGAAGGTTCCTTCACGTTGCTGTGGTGTCTCGATTGCCTTTTCCTTGACTTGTGTCAGCTGGAATCATGTCCCCTAGTCAGAGATAGAAGAGCCTAAACTTCCTCTCTGGGTAGTGGTTTCTGTGATTAGGAACTGATGGGCATAACGGAAAGGAGAGGAAGGGGTAGAAGGTACAGCTGAGGGCAGAGGAACTGCTTCTGGCTGGTGCCAACAGTGGAAACAAAAGGAGACTTTAAGAAGATCCCAGCCAGTGCTGAGGAGTGCCATGTGCAGGCTCCTGCGGCCTGGGGCTGTTCCGCGCTCACTAAGCCCAGGCCATCACTAGGACTTGAGATTTTTCCTCTAAGAAGATGTGACAATGTTCTGCTCTTATATTTTCAATCTTGTTTATAAATATTTATATCTTGCTGAATGTTTAGAAAAGGAACTGAATGTGTGTCACTGAAAAAAACTACGTGGAGATTTCTTATAAATCAGTGTAGTTTAAGACCAGATTTTATTGAGGTATTTATGGATGAAATTATGACTGATTTGCTTCGGAGTGATCTGTTGGTTGGTGGAAGGTATGGAAAGGGTTTTAGTTGACATAAGAATGTGTTAAAATTCTTTTTAAAAAAAACTTGAATGGAAGACTTCAAGTCAGTGATACTTTGTTTCTCAAGAGGTTTCATGAGAAATTAAGCCCTCTTGCCCCAAGTATGAGTCATGAGTTAACTCCTCTCATGTGCATCCACCATGGTGCTGCTCTTGGGAGAGTGGAGAAAGTGATCCTTTTTTGTGTTCAGTGGTTCCTACTGAGGAGCATTGGTTGAGGAAGACTTATAATAGTGTAGAAATACATGGTTGATTCAGCATTGTAATGTTTTGTAATTTGGTGTATCTTCGCTTCTTAAAGTTTTGAATTTCTACACCCCTCCCCCTTTCTTGACAGGGTCTCACTCTAGTTCAGGCTGGCCTTGAACTCATTATGTAGCTCAGGCTGGCCACAAACTCATGGAGATTCTCCTGCCTCAGCCTCTTGAGTGCTGGGATTACTGGCGTGTGCCACCACCCCTGGTTTGAATTTAACATTTCTTAACGTGGGGAAAATATCACATTGTGTAGACATGCGCCAAAGCTGTTAGAAAATGTGTTTTTCTTTTCTATTAGGTATAATCTGAAAATACAGCCTATTGAGAAAATGCACCTTGCTGTGGTTGCCTGTGGTGAAAGACTGGAAGAAACTATGACCATGTTGAAGTCAGCTCTCATTTTCAGCATCAAACCTCTTCAGTTCCATATTTTTGCTGAAGATCAACTGCATGATAGCTTTAAAGCAAGAGTAAGTATTTATAGAGACTTAGTTAAGGCTAGAGAGTTGAATATTTAAGTGTGGTTTAATAGAGTGTTTTATTATTATATTGATCAAGAATGTGTAGTCTGTACTACACAGAGGGTGGAAAATGGTTCTTGTAACATTTTCATCTTGAGTTGAGATCTAGAATGTAAGGGTAAGATCTGTTTTGTAACAGTAATAGGCGACTTAAAAGTCCTTCCCCAAACATGACTTTATTTTACTGACTGTAGTTCCAGGATGTTTTGATTGAGAAGTAATCAAGATAAAACTTTATTTCTTTCTTGCATAAAAGTAGGCACAGTGAGTTACATGGCAGATCTTCATCCTTATGGACTATTTTTTTTCTGATTGTGTCTGAGCTATTTCCTTCCTTTCTCCTTTGCTTCCTCGCTCGCTCCCTTCCTCCCTTCCCACCTTTCCCTCTCTTCTCTCCCTTTGTTTTATACTGGGAATTAAACCCAGATCTGGTGATGCTAAGAAACTGCTTTACTACTGAGCTGCATCCCCAGCACAGCTGAGCCCACTTTCAACATGAGGGTTCTACCTCATAGTCCAGGATAGCTATTCATGATCCTGCCATTACATCTGTATTCAATCCACCCTAAGAGAAGGAGAGCCCCTTCCTTCTCTTTAAGGAAATTTGCACAGGTAGTCGTAACCTTTCTGCCAGTATTCCATTGGTCCCAATTTAGTCATGTGACCATACCTAGGTGTTAGGATGGAAATATACTTTTTAACCAAGGTAGCTTTGTAACCTCCTTAACAACAAGAATTGGAGATCAAAGGCAGAGAAGAGAACATACAAGAAAAAAAATTTGCATGAAATCTCACCACCTCGTATTCTGAGATGGTGGTAAAGATGATGCTACTGACTCTTCCTCCTTCACTAAATCAAGTATTCAAACTGATTTGATTTTTCTACTTGGTCTAAGTTTTTTTAAAAAAAGTTTGTTTTGTTTTTTAAGTTCATTTTAGATGTTGAGGAAAAAATACACCTTGTGGTCTCAGGACTGTGAAAATCTTTGATTCTAAGAGGTAGAAAGGTTAACTTAAACTTTAAAAATATTTCTAGGCCAGGGATTTAGCTCAGTGGTTCCAGCGCCTGCCCTGCAAGAACAAGGTCCTGAGTTCGATCCCCAGTATCAAAAAAAAAAAAAATCTATATAAATGTATATATATACATTTATATATATACATTTATAATCTTGATCTCTTTATCTAGATTTTTATAAAATAATAGAGGAATTAATTTTTTCCAAGAGGTTGAAAGAATAGTAACAGGTTGCTACTAACTGTGAAAACCTTCAAAAATGTAATAAAAAAAACCATATTTCATCCTAGGTGCAGCCTCTGTACTATAGTTTTCAATTTGGATCTTCTTTGACTTTAATAATCAACACTAACAAAATTGCCTTTTCCTTTTGATGAATGAATATCAAATATCTGGTGGAACATGCTTTTAATACTAAGAGTAACTAAGTGTTACAGTATTAAATGACAAAGGCCAAAGGTTTTTTTTTTGTACTGGGGATTGAACTCGGGCCCTTGTGCTTGCAGGGCAGGCGGCGGAACCACTGAGCTAAATCCCTGGCCCCAAAGGTTTCATTTTGAAGTTGGTATTAAAATGATATTTAAATGATTTATAAGTCAGGAAGGAAAATACAAGTGCTAGTCTTTTAAAACAATAGAGACATTAAAGCAGTGTTAGGAAAAAGGTATTCCCTTAAACCATGGTGAAAGATATTATTTTAAAAATCACTTGACTGTAGTCATAACTCAAAAAGAGATCTTTAGCCTTATGCATAAGTTACTTAGCTTTTTTCCTTCTTCTGCAGTTTTGTTTCTGAGTGCTTTTCAGGTAATTTGAGCGAGCAGTTCTAAGGGCAAACCTGGTGGCCTGTGACTGTGGTGCCAGCTGCTTGGGAGGATGAGGCATGAGGATCACTTGAGCCCAGGAGTTCAAGGCCAGCTTGTGCAACATAGTGAGGCACTGTCTCAAAAAAAAGGGAAAAAAATCTGTAGAAGCAACAATGACATGTAATACTTAATTGAGTTTGAAACAATTCAGTGTCTTACGATGCATTCAAGATATTGAAGTGTGTTATAGATTTTAGATACATTGTTTTTTGTAATGATTTTTTGAAAAATTGGTATCAGATATGTATTTACTAGAGTATTTTACTATCAGGAATAGCAATGCACATTAATACTATGCATAAATGGAGAAACTGATATTAGTTTGACTTTGAATGTCAACATTTTTATTGTATCATATACGAAGGTAATATAATTTGTGCTTATTTTTTCTGTTTTTAATGTATGTGGAGATTGAGAGAATTTACATAGGTAAAGTTAAGGGGAATGAATGTTTGCAAGGCCCTTGCAGCTTTCTGATGTTGTGACTCACCCTGATGACTTCCACTATGTCTTTAATCTTAATGGTGAAGTTTTTCTGAGATATTACTATAATTTTTAGATTTTAATGAAAATTAAAATACTGGTGAAAAAAGAAAATCTTTTTTTTTCTTTTTCGTACCGGGAATCAAACTTGGGACCTTGCACTTGCAAGGCAGGCGGTGGAACCGCTGAGCTAAATCCCCGTCGAAAAAAGAAAATCTTGCCCCTTACTGATTCAACACAAAATGTGTATGATCACAATTTTTAGCTCTTTTGTTTTGTAACTGTTGAATTACATTACAGGAAAAATTGAAAGTGAGACAAATCTAATGGATTTTTATTTTTTTAGCTTGACAGCTGGTCATTTCTACAAACATTTAATTATACAATATATCCCATTACATTTCCAAGTGAGAACGCAGCGGAATGGAAAAAGCTTTTTAAACCATGTGCCTCCCAGAGATTATTCTTGCCAGTAAGTTTTTTCCCCTCTTGGTTTTTTGTTTGTTTGTTTGAATTTGAAATTCACTTTTATACACCTGAGTTTCTGAAGAGTTACATAAGTTTAGTTAAATAAATATAATATTTGGAAAATATAGTACATTTTGGAAATTTAATATGGTAAAAAATTCCCAGAGTGGTCAAAGCTATAATAAAAATCTTGCTAACAATAAAATATTTGGGGTCAGGTGTGTAGCTTAGTGGTAGAGCTCTTGCCTAGTATGTGTGAGGCTCTAGGTTCAATCCCTAGCCTTGTTTCTTGTAACTGTTAAGTGGATTAAAACAGCCCTAGCATATTAAGAATATAGTTTACCAAATCTAGAATATCAGTTAGATTTAAGTTATAATTTTTTTTTTCCAGTACCAGGGATCGAACTCCAAAACTTGTGCTTTGGAGGTGGGTGCGGTACCACTGAGCTAAATTCCCGGCCCTAAGTTATAATTTTAATTATAATTATAATTCCCGGCCCTAATTTGACTACCCAGTATCTTTGATGTTGTGCTTAAAAATTTTTGATCCTAGAATCTTGCTCAGTCTTCCCTTCCATTATAAAAGAACACAAGTAAGGGATTGAGATTGGAAAAAAAATCTTAAAATATTTTAGGCTTTGTAAGTTTTAAAAATAAGTTTATGTTGAATTATTGCAGTGTCACATTCATTTAATTAGTGCATGAGTGTTTATTTTCTGCCGGTCACTTGCCCTGAAGTGCTGGCTACATGTGTAGGGATGAATGGGAAGAGACAGGGCTCATATTTTAATAGAGCAAACTCTGTGATGGAGGAGAAAGCTGTTAAACAAGTAGTCACGCAGATGAGTTCTGGAAAAGCAGCAAGTGATGAAAGAAAAGTATGAAATTATGGGCATTATTTCTCTGTCATTTTGTTGTACTTTACTGACAAGTTTAATTGTTGGTGTTGTAATATGAAGTTTGTCAGATTACTTAATGATATGATCTGGTTAAATTCCTAAATAGAATTGTGTGCTTGAAACCTGTCTGATTGTTCTCATACTTTACTATTACTTGTGGATTTTTTTTTAAAACCAGGTTTAAGTAAATTGATACTTTGTTTTTCCTAATGATAAATCTTTTTGCTGAGCTTCGCTTCTTTTAAAATAGACAAAAAGGACCAATGTAAACTATGCCCCTGCCTTCTTCCTCCAAAATGTATGGAAAAATACTGACATGGTTATTATATCATGATATGTCTGACTTCCGGTTAGCATTAGCTCCCAGAGGTGAACTGGAAGCTTCATGCAGCATCTTCCCAGTTTGCTAAGAATACAGTAGTCTATAAACAGATGGTGTATCATGGTTCAGAAGCGGAATGTTCATATTAAAACAAGGCAGACAGACATAATCATCCCGCTTTAATTGAGATCTTTGAGAGCAAATGAACATCCCTACTCAGGCTCTGCAGTGACCCGTCAGACTTTTCCTCAGTCTGATGTTATGTCCACTGAGTGAACTAAGGGAGGAATGAGGTGATTTCTGTCCAGTAGCTAGCTGCTCATGGAGGCAATGGCTTCAGTTGATCAAAGATGTAGCAGCTTTGGAAAGTGTAGCAGAATGAAGGTCAAGCTCTTGTTCCCATATTCTTACATTAAAAGGTATAGATTAATCTCAGCATTAAATCTTGCTACTAGACCCTGACAGGTGGTAAATTTAAATTTGTAGGAATCAGATTCTAAAGTTGGTAGATAAGGCAGGATAAAGATTACCCTAAAAATCTCTGGAATGTACATGTTAGAGACTTCTTTCTGCTAAGGCAGTTCTTGTCTTCATCCTTGCCAAGTACATGTTTTCTGTTATTTATTAGCAGATAATAATTATAAAAATAAGACCATAGGGCTGGGGATTTAGCTCAGTGGTTTCGTCGCCTGCTGCGCAAGCACAAGGACCCGAGTTCGATCCCCGGTACCAAAAAAAAAAAAAAATAAAAGACCATAGAATCTGGAGCTGGATGGTCTGGGTTCCAGTTTGCTGCTAGCCACTTAACTAGTTGATACCAAAATGATGTGAAAGTATTAGTGTTACAGGCTGAGGGCAGAAGTTCAAATCATCATTTTTATTGATATATTTCTGAAGTTATCTCAGGAAATTAGGATCTGAGATATAAATCCTCCTGAAGTTAGTGTTATTTTCCATTATGAAAAATATTTTCTCCCTGATCCATGAAATTAAGGCTTTTATTCCAGTTACAGATATTTAGCCTTTTGGTTTTTTTTGTCCTAGCTTTTCTTTAAAAGTTGATGTGGGGCTGGGGATTTAGCTCAGTGGCTCCACTGCCTGCCTCGCAAGCGCAAGGATCTAAGTTCGATCCCTGGTACCAAAATAAATAAATAAATAAAAGTTGATGTAATAGGATAGTATCTTCATATATACTGTTTTCAAAAATGATAGATTTAGGGCAAATTACTGTGCTTTAAAAAATTAATGTAAATGAGCTTAACTCTTCAGTAGATCTTCTACGATTACTGTTTCTTTTCTTTTATTAATGGAATTATAGTTAATTCAACAAATATCTCTTCTTGTAGTCAATCCTGAAAGAAGTTGACTCACTGTTGTATGTTGACACGGATATTCTGTTTTTACGACCTGTTGATGATATTTGGTCTTTACTAAAGAAGTTTAATTCCACACAAATTGCTGCAATGGCACCAGAACATGAGGAGCCTCGAATAGGATGGTACAATCGTTTTGCCAGACATCCATACTATGGAAAAACTGGAGTGAACTCTGGAGTTATGTTGATGAACATGACACGAATGAGAAAGAAGTATTTCAAGGTAAGTCACTGATACAGAGTTGATTAAGGTTTAAGTTTTCTTTTATTAAAATCTAGACTAAACTATTCATAATTTCTGTTTGTCTTTTGTATGTTCATAGTATTCTGTTTAGTAGAGCATTATAGAAGGACAGAACAGATGGCATTATTCACAGTAAAGTGAAATAACAATGCGCTAAGTCCTGGACACTATCTCCCTAGATTGTCATTGAAGGAAAATAGTTCTTATTTTGTAGTTTTACTTAATCTAAACTATGTATCTTAGGGCAACAGAGTTGTGGTTAGAAGCACAGACTCTGCAGTCTGTTGACATGGTTCAAATCCTGGCAGCTTAATAACTCAGAGGTGTTGGGTAAGTTTTGACTGTCTCTAGGCTTTAGTTTTGTCATCTTTGGGCTTTTGTAAGGATTATGAAGTTTAAATGAGTTAAAATAGTGTCTGACACATCTAAATGTTGGTTGTTATGGTACTATGCTGAAGTTAAAATTTTAAAAACATCCATGCATGCTTTTAATCCCAAATTGTGGGGTCAATGGAAGAGTCAGATTTTATTTTTTTTTTATTTTTTATATTTTTGGTACTGGAGATCCAACTCGGGACCTGTGCTTGTGAGGCAGGCAGCAGTACCACTGAGCTAAATCCTCGGCAAGAGTCAGATTTTAAATTTACTGATTGTGCATTCTGAATATATCAGTGTGCTCTACATACTGTTTACCAGTTTTGGGTAAATGAGTTAGATATGCTAAGTTGCATCTCATTGTAGTTTGTGGACGCGGGTCAAACTGGCTTTATGGTCACTTTGCTACCTAAGCACTGTAACCACTAGCAACTTGGTTAGCTTTAAAATGTCTGTAATTTCAACTGAAAAATAGAAATAGTAAATAGACTTACCTTAGTTTAAAAGAAATTTAAAAAATGTTTAGTGTATAGACCATGGTACTTAGTAAGAGTAAGAAGCTTTTAAATTTTAGCTTAAAACAGTGACTTCCGAGCAAATACCCATTGTTGGCTTTCCCTCTACTGTTTATTCTTTTTTTTTTTT